CTACTCATCTTCAACAAGTGTTTCTGATTTTCACCTTCGTTTTCATAGCAATAGCTACCCTCTTTTTTGTTACTCATATATCATCATTTTTCATATTATTTCATTAAATTATGTAGTTGCAACTGTAAGCATAAGTGCCAGACATACATTTTAACATTTTTTTCATTCTTTTTTTTTCTTTCTTTAAAGAGACAGGATATTCCTATGTGGCCCAGGCTGGTCTCCAACTCCTGGGCTTAAGCAATCTTGCCTTGGCGTCCCAAAGTGTTAAGCTTACAGGCATGAGCCACTGCGCTCAGCCCACACACACATTATGTTGAGAAAAAAACATAATGGACCCTCACTAGGCACACAACTCAAATGGAGGAGCAGAAGCACAGGCATGCAAGGGCCTATTGGTCATAACCACTCATTGTGCTGTGGGGAAACGGTGTGTTTCTCCTCATAGCCTCTCTCCCCAGAGAGCCCTTCCCTGATCATCTATTTAAGATTAACCCTTCTGGCTGGGCATGGTGGCTCACATTTGTAATCCCAGCACTTTGGGGGGCCAAGGCATGAGGATCACTTGAGGTCAGGAGTTGGAGACCAGCCTGGCCAAGATGATGAAACCCCATCTCTACTAAACACACAAAACTTAGCTGGGCATGGTGGCAAGCACCTACAATCCCAGCTACTTGGGAGGCTGAGACATGAGAATCAGTTGAACTCTGAACCCAGGAGGTGGAGGTTCCAGTGAGCCAGATCACACTACTGCACTCTAGCCTGAGGCAACAGAGCTAGACAGCTCCAAAGAGACTTCTCCTCTATCTCAAAACAAACAAACAAAAAAGATTAACCCTTTCATCACTCTCTATTCCCAGATTATTTTTTCTTCATAGGATTTACCACCACCTAATTTTTTTCTGTTTCATTTGTTTATTGCCTATCTCCTCACTAAAATATAAATGTCCTACGTAGAGGGATTTACTTTTGTTTATCCCTCGTACCTAGAAAACAGTTCCTGGCACATACCAGACACCTACTATTTGTTAAATGAATACTGTGGAATGAATGTTTTACACATGAAAATTCCTAATCAAACAAAATAGCTGTGTGGAGTCTGCTCAAGAAGCAATGCTTTATAGGCTAAGAGGAATTGAAAATCAGTAAGATACTCCAATAACCTGAGTCTAGTAAAGAGCAAAATCAAAATTACTAAGTAACTATAGAAAAAGATGGTATGGCATGTGGTAAGTGCCATGTAGGAGATCCAATAAAAAGACGACATCTATAAAAATAATGAATAAAAGAAAAGACGAAGTCTAGAAAAGTGAGAAATGATATGTCAACTCTGTCCCAGAGAGCTGGATTGATTTCAGCTTAATTCAATCCACACCACTTACTGAGCATCCAATCTAAATTTACTCAGAAGAAGCCCAGATGAAAAGTATGCAAGGAAGAGGAATGGGAAGCAGCAAGGCAATCAGGGAGGTCATTGGTGGCACAGTGGCTTTTTGGCCTTTTAATCCAGCTAGGACCACATAAGAGGTAGTATCCAAGCCTAGAACCAGTATGCCTAGGTTTGAATCCGAGTTCTCCTTCCCTGCTAGGCGTGAACAAGTTAAATTCCTCTCTGTATCCTCTATGTAAGAAAAGTACTCCCTTTATTAGTCATTCTAAAGACTTCATGAATTAAACTGCAAAATAGACAGCAGTGTCAGCACATATAAAATACTAAATAAATGTAATGTTTATTATTATGACGAATAGGTTCAATATTTACAGGTGGTTAACTATAAACACCATCTAGCCCACCCCTCCCCACACACACACATATTTTTTTTTTGAGACAGGGTCTTGTTCTCTGTCACCCAAGCTGGAATGCAGTGGCACAATCTTGGCTCACTGCAACCTCCACCTCCTGGGTTCAAGTAATTCTCCTAACTCAGCCTCCCAAGTAGCTGGCTAATGTTCATATTTTTAGTAGAGACAGAGTTTCACCATGTTGACCAGGCTGGTCTTGAACACCTGAACTCAAGATATCCACCCACCTCAGCCTCCCAAAGTGCTGGGATTACAGGCATGAGCCACGGCACCTAACCAAAATTTATATATTTATACCATTCCCTCCACAAAGATTCAAGACAATTTATACCAAACCATATGTATGTACACATATACACACATATATTTTAAAAAACAGAAACGGAATTTAAAATGATGAAAAAGAGAAGGAACTATGTCTACAACTAAAACTGACATAGGAACTTCTGTGCAACCAAAAGAAAAAGTGAAACACAATGAGTTGCATAATTCTTATTATTTGGTAAAAGGCAACATAATCTTTCGACATAAACTTTCCTTTGATACTGAATCCTAAAAAGAGTGTAACATGTGGGACCTCAAATAAAGCATATTTGGGATTATCAGGTTGGCGATTTCAACAATAGTGTTATGATAAATGCAAACACCTTCTTCATACAGTTGTTTCTTGTAGCCACTATCAATAAAAGCTAGACAATGCATTGAAGCCAATTCTGTAAAGAGAAGTCTACTGCTCCAAATTAATATAAGTAAAAGCTGCTAATGAAGATTCATATACAATCCAAAGACTTGTGGACATACTAAGCTTGCTACTACAACTATGTAACTTAATAAAATAACATGGAAACTGATGAAATATGAGTTAAAAAACAGAAACAGTTGCTATAAAACTAAGTTGACAATAGGAAACACTCACTAACAATGAGTACTTGTGTTGAGTTTTGTTTGTTTTTGAGACAGAATCTTGCTCCGTCACCCAGGCTAGAGTGCAGTGGCACAATCGCAGCTCACTGCAACCTCCGCCTCCTGGGTTCAAGCGTTTCTCCTGTCTCAGCCTCCCGAGTAGCAGAGGCTACAGGTACGCACCACCAGGCCCGGCTAATTTTTGTATTTTTAGCAGATACGGGGTTTTGCCACATTGGCCAGGCTGGTCTCAAACTCCTGACCTCATATTACCCACCGACCTCGGCCTCCCAAAGTGCTGGGACTACAGGTGTGAGCCACTACAGAAATGTAAAACGATGCTGTGCTCAGATTGCTTTACAGATATTCAAGATGTCAGAGTTGAAAAAAACCCAAACTGGTAATCTTAGATGATATGTTATGTAGGCAGTTGCTTTATCTAACAAATTGATGAACCTATGTTTTCATTTCTCTTGAGTAAACACCTAGGAGTGGAATGGCTATGTCACTGACCCATTTCATTTATCTATTCACCAGTCAATGGGCATTGGGGTTGTTTCCAGTTTGGTGCTGTCAAAAATAAATGTGCCACGAGGATGCGTAAATATTTGTGTGGACGTATACTTTCATTTCCCTGAGGTGAATATCCAGGAGTTCAATGGATAGGTCTGTTTTTGGAGAGACACGGGGTGCACATATACAAAGCTTTCTGGTTAAGAAAAGCCATCAAATAATTCCATTCATGGAACCAGCCAGAGGATGGAAGGGAGAAAACGGGGCAAAGGAGAAAGCTAATCTATGAAACAGAAAACCAAGAAGTGGCCAGAAAGACAAATCAGGAAAGAATAAATCCATAGACAGGTGATGCACAAATGTGTGAAAGGAATCCCAGATGCTGGGGACAAACCATGCGGAATTGGCTGAAAGGAACCAATCTTCACTGCAGATAACTCAGAGAAATAAATGAGGAACCGGTTGGGAACATTGGCTCGTGGGCCGTGCAGAAGCTCTGTCTGTATAAAAGCACAGATTCCCATGGCATCATTTCTTCCCCCCACCCTCACGCACAATCTCTAACCAGAGACTACACACCCGGTAACGGAACGCACGCCTCCGCGAACAAGACCTACACTTAGCGACTACTTCATGGCCTACAACTCCCAGGATGCAACATGACATCCTTCCCACAGCACCGAGAGCCTGCGACTACCCGGACTATCAGGCCGGGAGAGTCCACTCCAAGCTCACCTCAGAGCTCCGGGAGCCCTTCAGCACCTGCTTGGTGAGCGCGATTACGTCAGTACCACAGGTGGTCACCTTCTCTGTGAGAAGCCCCTTCACTGACTGACCGAACCGCGCTTGAGAATCTGGCGTTCCAGTCGCCATCACTGCAACTAGCGAACGCCTCCGCACGGCGATGGCGAGTCGCCCGGGCCAAAATACTAGCAAAGCGGAAGGAAAAGAGGAGGTGTCTCTCCTTGTGGGAAAATTAAGGGACGCATGCGCCTGATGAAGATTGACCTTTGCTCACTAAATTCTTATGAACTATTCATTGACATCCTGAGGAAAACTGGGTCCAGGCAAACATCTCTGGAGGGGATGGAGAGCAGTTTCACTGAATCTATGGTTTAGAATCAGAAAGCCTGCTGCAGGGCATGGTGGCTCACCCCTGTAATCCCAGCACTTTGGGAGGCCCAGGCAAGATAAATGACTTAAGCCTGGGAGTTCCAGTCCAGCCTGGGCAACGTAGTGAGACCCCATCTCTTAAAAAAAAATTAATAAAAGGCCGGGCGCGGTGGCTCAAGCCTGTAATCCCCGCACTTTGGGAGGCCGAGGCGGGTGGATCACGAGGTCAAGAGATCGAGACCATCCTGGTCAACACGGTGAAACCCCGTCTCTACTAAAAATACAAAAAATTAGCTGGGCATGGTGGCGCGTGCCTGTAATCCCAGCGACTCAGGAGGCTGGGGCAGGAGAATTGCCTGAACCCGGGAGGCGGAGGTTGCGGTGAGCCGAGATCGCGCCATTGCACTCCAGCCTGGGTAACAAGAGCGAAACTCCATCCCCAAAAAAAAAAAAAATTAACAAAAAGAATCAGAAGGCTTGGATTACAGTCCCAATGTTACCATTTAGCAGTGTGTGGCTGCAAATTACTTAGCCTCAGTGTCTTACATTCCTCATCTGTTAAACAGAAGTAATAATGTTTCCAAGGGGTTATGAGAGTATCATTCCATTCTTTTTTTTTTTTCTTCGACAGAGTCTTGCTCTGTTGCCTAGGCCTTTTTTTTTTTTTTCTTTAATTGAAACGGGCTGGGCACGGTGGCTCACGCCTGTAGTTCCAGCACTTTGAGAGGCCAAGGCAGAGGCTTGAGGACAGGAGTTCAATATTAGCAGCCTGGGTGACATAGCAATAACTTGTCTCATTTTATTTTATTTTTTTAATTATTATTTTTTGAGACAGCCTCACTCTGTCGCCAAGGCTGGAGTGCAGTGGCTCCATCTTGGCTCACTGCAACCTCCGCCTTCCAAGTTCAAGTGATTCTCCTGCCTCAGCCTCCCGAGTAGCTGGGACTACAGGTACAAAACTTAGCCAGGTGGGGTGATGTGCACCTGTAGTCCCAGCTACTTGGGAGGCTGAGGCAGGAGAATCAATTGAACCCAGGAGGCAGAGGTTGCAGTGAGCCGAGATCGCACCACTGCACTCCAGCCTGGAGACAGAGCAAAACAGAACAAGATGGGCACAGTGGCTCATGCCTGTAGTTCCAGCACGTTGGGAGGCTGGGGCAGAAGGATAGCTTGAGGCCAGGGTGCAGTATCAGCAGCCTGAGCAACGTAGCAACAACTTGTCTGATTTTATTTATTTTATTTTATTTTTTGAGATGGAGTCTTATTCTGTCATCCACGCTGGAGTGCAATGGCATGATCTCAGCTCGCCGCAACCTCCACCTCCCCGGTTCAAGCGATTCTTCTGCCTCAGCCTACCGAGTACCTGGGATTACAGGCATGTGCCAGCACCCTGGCTAATTCTGTATTTTTAGTAGAGACGGGGTTTCCTCCATGTTGGTTAGGCTGGTCGCAAATTCCCTACCTCAGGTGATCCACCTTCCTCAGCCTCCCAAAGTGCTGGGATTACAGACGTGAGCCACTGCACCAGGCTTTATTTATTTATTTATTTAGAGATGGATCTCCCTCTGTCACCCGGGCTGGAGTGCAGTGGTGTGATCTCGGCTCACTGAAACCTCCACCTCCCAGGTTCAAGCAATTCTCCTGCCTCAGCTGCCTGAGTAGCTGGGACTACAGGCGCCCACCACCGTGCCCGGCTAATTTTTTGTTGCTGTATTTTCAGTAGAGAAGGGTTTCACCATATTGGCCAGGCTGGTCTCGAACTCCTGACCTTGTGATCCACCCACCTCGGCCTCCCAAGGTGCTGGGATTACAGGCATGAGCCACTGTGCCTGGCTATTTATTTATTTTTGAGACAGAGTCTTGCTCTGTTATCCAGGCTGGAGTGCAGTGGCACAATCTTGACTCACTGTAACCTCTGCCTCTGACTACAGGTGTGTGCCACCACACCTGGCTAATTTTGGATTTTTTTTTCTTCTTTACCACGAAAGACTAGGAATTTCAGGAAGAATAATTTTGGATTTTTAGTAGAGATGGAGTCTCACCATGTTGGACAGGTTGGTTTCAAACACTTGACCTCAAGTGATCCACCCACCTCAGCCTTTCAAAGTGCTGGGATTACAGGTGTGAGAGCCACTGTGCCCAGCCCTTTGTCTCAATTTAAAAAAAAGACAAAAAGATGCAAAACATTTTTATCACCCTCAGAAGTTTCCAAGTGCCCTTTAAAGTCCATCTCTCCCTCTATGTCTCACCCCAGGCGACAAATGAACTGTTTTGGGGAACTATGGGTTAATTTGCATTTCTAGAATGGCAAATAAATGGCATCATACAGGATTTTGGGAGGGGATCCTTTTTTGTCTGGCTTCTTTCTTGCTGCATGATGATTTGACAGTTATCTATGTTGTTGTGCATATGACTAGTCTGTGCATTGTTACTGCTGAGAAATATTCCACTGCATGCATAGTTTTGTGTTTATTCACTCTCTTGTTGATGCTTGGGTTGTTTCCACTTTTGGGTTTTTCTTGTGTTGTTTTTGGTTTTGGTTTTGTTGTTGCTGCTGTTGAGACAGGGTCACTCCTCTGTCATCCAAGCTGGAGTGCATGGCATGATCACAGCTCAACCCCCCGGGCTCAAGCAATCTTCCCGCCTCAGCCTCCAGAAGAGCTGGAACTACCAGCTCATGCCACCATGACTGGCTAATTTTTACAATTTTTTTCTGTAAAGACAGGGTCTCCCTATGTTGCCTGGGGCCAAGTGGTCCTCCTGCCTTGGCCTCCCAAAGTGCTGGGATTACAGGCGTGATCCCATCACACCTGGCCTCTACTTTTGGACCATTATGAATAAAGCTGCTATGAACATTTGTACACAAGTCTTTATGTGGGTTGTTTTCATTTCTCTTGGGTAAATATCTAGTAGTAGAACAGTTGGATCATATGGTAAGTGTTTCAGTTTTCAAGAAACTGGCAAACCGTTTTCCAGACTGATTTAACATTTTACATCTCCAATAACAGCACAGGCCACACCAGTTGCTCCATACCCACAAACTTAGGAAAAGATGGAATGTTCTTTTTTTTTTTTTTTTTTTTAAATTTAAAGAGCCAGTCACATTTAGCAGTGGGGAGGTTGTATACCAACTTTAGTGACACTAATGTTAATAAGTTCTGATAACCCACTACCATCGGACCAGCCAAGATGGAATGTTCTATAGCCATGGTAACAAGTAACTCCCTGTGGTGGACAGATTTGCCAGTGACAGGTAACCTCCGTGACCCCCAGCTCCTGGTGTTCTTGCTCTTGCGTGATCCTCTTCTCTTGCACGTGGTCATGGTCTTTGATTTGCTTCCAATCAATAGTATCTACAAAGGCAATGGGAAGCGCATGAGAACGTTACACAAGATTACATAATGTTGCATCACGATTCCCCTCATCTTGCTGGAGGCTCTCTCTCTTGCTGGCTGTCAGTAAGTGAGTGGCTATGCTGGAGAACTCCATGTGACAAGGAACTGTAAGCACCATCTAGTCACCTGCCTCTGGGCCTCCAGCACACAGCCAGCAAAACTCAAAAAAAAAAAAAAAAGCTCTCAATCCAGCAATCAAAAGGAACTGAATCCTGCTAACAACCAGGCACATAGGAAGCAAATTCTTCCCCAGTACAGCCTCCAGGTGAAACCCAGCGCTGGCCCACACCTTGACTGCAGCATGTGGACGCTAAGTAGATGGCCCAGAGAAGCTGTACTTAGGTTCCTAACCCACCAAGACTGTTAAGATAATACATGTGTGTTGTTTAAAGCCACGAAGTTTGTGGTAGTATTCATGGTAATGTGGTAATAGAAAACTAATATATCACCAGAACTCGTTTGAAATCTGTTCAGCCGGGTGCAGTGGCTCATACCTGTAATCCCAGCACTTTGGGAGGCTGAGGTGACAGGATCGCTTGAGCTCAGGAATTCAAGACCAGCCTGGGCATCATGGTGAAACCCCACCTCTATGAAAAATTCAAAACTTAGCTGAGCATGAAGGTGTGCACCTGTATTCCCAGCTACTCGGGAGGCTGAGATGGGAGGATTAACTGAACCCAGGAGATCGAGGCTACAATGAGCTGTAATTGCACCACTCTACTCAGGCTAAGTGACAGAGCCAGACCCCGTCTTAAAAAATAAAAATAAATAAAATAAACAAATCTGTTCAATTTATGACGACTCACCTAGTGAACCCCCTTTTGCAAACCAAGCAATCAGGATCTGCCCCTTCACTTCTGAAAATCAATCGTTCAGGAGTTTGCATCCTGCCTGGGCAACATAGAAAAACATTGTCAAAAGAGGCTGAGCATGGTGGCTCACACCTGCAATCTCAGCACTTTGGGAGGCCGAGGTGGATGGATCGCCTTAGGTCAGGAGCTTGAGACCAGCCTGGCCAACATGGTGAAACCCCATCTCCACTGAAAATATAAAAATTAGCCGGGCAGTGGCAGGCACCTGTAATCCCAGCTACTCGGGAGGCTGAGGCAGGAAAATCGCTTGAACCGGGGAGGCGGAGGTTGCAATTAGCTGAGATCGCACCATTGCACTCCAGCCTGGGCAACAAGAGCAAGACTTCATCTAAAAAATATATATATTTTTAGTAATTTGCATTTTCCAAATTTCTACAATTATGATGTATAACTTTAATAATATGGTAATGATGGTGTAAAACAATTTCTTGTTTGTGATTGGGTGAAATGTCAGAAAGTCAGCTTGGCAGTCACTGTAGGAATAGAAAGTAGCCATTCAGGCCGGGTGTAGTGTCTCACGCCTGTAATCCCAGCACTTTGGGAGGCCAAGGTG